CAAAGTATATGTATACTTTGGTGAATGCATCTTTCTGCAACAACATTGGCGTTAATGAGTTTTGTGGAATCAGAACAACATAGACATGCAAAAAATGCATGAACATAGTTTAAAAAAAGGTTCTTGAATGCGGAGAAAAAAGCTTTTCTTCTTTCCTCAAATAGTTCAGATCAGTTTTATGAGCCTAGTTGTTTAAACAAGGTAAGCATAACAAGGTAAGCATAAACTACTCAAGTACTCCCTTAGAGAGAAGAGAAACATAGAGATCTTCGAAAGAATACAGAGTTCAAAGAGGCACTCCGAACCTCTGCTAAACCCCCTTTTTGCTTTTAATTAATTTTTTGCTGGATCTGAAAAGCATAATCCATATTGAAATACATCAGTGAAATTTGTAAAGGAGTTTCATTGAAAAGAATGTGATAAATGCAGTCCCTTTTCCAAACATAGCAGCACTTTATGGTCTGAGACTTGCCAGAAGTTAAGCATAACTCAGAGTCATATGGTGGACCGCATCCTGCAAAAATGCATGCATGTACTTACTGTGGTGCAAAAGCTGATGGGCAACCCACTCAGTCTTCAGTGGAACACAATTTGATGGAGAGTTTGGCCCATTCTCTATAATGAATAGAGTGATATGACCACTATCATTCTATCATTTTATTTTTATATAAAAATAGATTCATAATTGCATATGTCTAATAACACAAAAGAAATAGCATGTTAATATGAATTCTGTTTGAATAGACTGAGGAGTTTTTAGCAAAACAAATATGGAACTTTTCAAAAAACTACACAAAGATTGCTTGTTTTTAATCTGTAAAAGCTTGACATGTCTCCTTTAAGAGAAATATAATGGTAATGATAATCTCTTGAAAATCAGAAGTGTTGTTTCCTCATTTTTATCGAAGGTCAGAAGTCCAAGGGAGTTCTGCTGGGAATTTTCCTCCCTTTCCCACAAAGAGGACTCTTTTCTGAGACAGCGTAAGATGCTATTGTGGTCTAGTGGTTGGATTGGTACCGAAAGGCAGGAGGATCCTGGGTTCAAATGAGCACTGAATCATTGACTTCCAGTGTAGCTTTTGGCTTCTAGTCAAAAATAAATCTGGGAGAAAGGCTTAAAACCATGTGCAAGAGAAGCTAAGGGAACTTGTTTTTTTCCGTTTTTCTGGAAGGGAAATGGAATATAGGCAGTAGATGTTCCTGTGGAAGAAAGGACTCTTAACTGCATGGAGAGTGCTATCTGCTAGCTAGGACCTACCATCAGTTTGTAGAGGTTTCATATTACGCCTCACACACAGTCCCTAAAAGCTCTCAAGAAAGATGCATCTTTCGAGAATCACATCTGCATCTTCACAAGAATCTGTGCTGCGCCTCGTTTTGTGATGGAGTATGTCCAATAACACACTCTTAAAACCAACTGTCCTTTGCACGTTGGCAGGGTTGAGGAAAAAATCTGGTCCTATTGTTAATACTGATGTATAGAGACAATGCCCATCATACTGATGATAATTTTCAAGAGTAGGTATAAGCAGTATATTCACAATACTTTTGTTACAGGTTACTTTCAAAAAAGAGGTAGAATTTTATTTTCTTCTCTTAAAATGAGAGAGAAAATCAAAGAGCCTAAGTTGGTTAGTTTGTAAAAAAACCCCAGAAAATCAAAAAGATTGCATTGCCACTGAAATGAGATAGGGTAATTGACAATAAATTCCCAAGTTTTTAAATCAGAAAACACTTCATCATTGGTCAGCACATCCAGTGACCATGTTCATTAAACCTTCACAGGCTTAAAATCTATCAAAACATTCTGATCAGTGTCATGATGTTGTGTTGATCCAATGCAGCTTGTGATTTGGCCTCATAAAACGCCCACGAGGTACAACTTCCCTTTTTAGCAGCACCCACTTCAGGACACACATCTAGTACAGTATGGCACTGATAGGGAATAGAAAAGAACTGTAGAGGCATTAATAGTCCAGTGATCGATCCTTCCTTCCTTCCTTCCTTCCTTCCTTCCTTCCTTCCTTCCTTCCTTCCTTCCTTCCTTCCTTTCCTTCCTTCCTTCCTTCCTCCCTCCTTCCTCCCTTTCCTTCCTTCCTTCCTTCCTCCTCCCTCCCTCCCTCCCTTCTTTCCTCTCTTCCTCCCCTCCATCCATATGTCCATCACCGCTGTGCTAGACATTAGCTATGACTGGAAGTGGAGGACTCATGTTCTGCAACTGTTGTTGATGTACGCCAACTTTCACAGACACTTCCTGGTGTTTACACAGACAGGCTGCTAGTAGTTCTCTGTGTCTTCAAGAGTGGCGTATGAAAATACACTGCAGTGCATTAGAGCTCTAAGAAATAATTTTATCTCCAGTGTGCCTCACAGGGAGCAAGAAACCACTCCACCATTCCCTTCCCATCCATTTCTGACGCAGAAGGCAGATCCTACATACCCTCCACACTTTTGCCCATGTGACTCAAACCACTGGACCTTGTTCTGTTTTTTGGAAAACTTACATACACAGGAGAGTCTGGAGATGCACTGATGCACAGGCTCATCACCCCAGGCATAAAGCATGTCATGTAGTTTCTACTTCTTTACTCAAGTTTCACAGATAGGGGAAATATATTGGACGAAATTTTACTGACATGTAAGGGAGGATGCTTTGCATTTACAGTCAATGCAAGTGAGACTCCCATTTGCTTCGAAGCTGAAATTAGTCATTACTTTCTGCTGCATCAGGGCATGCCTCCAGAAGCTCATTTTCATCGGCCTCAAGGTTTAACAAGCTGTGTTCATTTCCAAAGAATGAAAGAATGAAAGAACTCATCCAAGGATACAGTGTAACCTTCAGTCTTCTTCAAAGGAAAATTTTATAATATAATGGCAAAATTTCTCATGCCCGCACTCAGATCCCATGCTTGCAAAGTTCAGTGTAGCTACAGATGAATACATTTTTAGGGCTGCAAACAGTGCAAGTAGCATGCTCAAAAGCTTCAGACTGATTTGGGAGTCTAAGTTGCATTTTCAAACAGTACTTCAGTATGGGGAGTTAAGGCTAAATAGATCTTTAATAATTCTAAAAATTTTAAAGAGTTTTAAAAGGCCTCAGCTATACTGACTTTTAATGAGTCCCAGTTTTGAAAATTTTCACTCAAAAACCTGAGCCTGCAAATGAAGACAGTTTGGAAGATCTTGACTGCAGATAACCAATGAAAGGCAGAGTGAAAAGGCACTATTCCCTCCTCTTCTGTAAAACCGTAAGATTTCATTTCATGAAATGAAAATGTGAAATGGAAGAACAGCAAATTTAGAAAAAACATGACGAATTGCAGTCGTGCTTACTGTTGTAACTCATAAAAACCTGCAGTTGGATTTAGAAAAGAAGATGGAACACTTTTATGACTGATCACTGACCAAATTTAGTTCCCTTAATAATAATTAAACTATTTTTCCATTGGCTTTAACTCTTCTAGTAAGCCAATGCTGGGCTTCAGTCAGAACTCGATCTGTAGAGAGGTGAACAGAGATATCTTGCCTACGCAAGGAAGTGCTGTTTGTTTCGCTCAGTGCTGAGCATTGTGCAAGTACGTAATTAAATACACTGAAGACTTTTTATATTTCTCCCGAGCACCAGTTTTTGATCATTGCCAAAGACAGAATGCTGACCACACCAAATAACAGTCTAACCCTGTAATGAATAGCCATGCTGAAGATCTTCGAATTAGCCTTAAGCAAGTCAGAATACAGAGCTGACTCAAGGTTTCCCACAATGTAGCCAAAGGTGATTTTCCCCTTACCAAAGTTGGGGAGACAGACCTTTTAGGCCACAGTAAGTATACAGGGAGAGATCAAAGAGGAAAAACTGGACTGCAGAGCCACACGAGGAGAAATTTGAAGAGACTTCTGTTGTCAAGGGATGGAAGAGATAAAAGCAGTTATTGCTGCAACCCAGAGAGGTTATCACATTCTCTAGCAGCAGTTGCCCTCCTACACCTGCCAAGACCCCTTCCTTGGTAACACCGGCAGCATCACAAAGCTGGGCTTCCTGGAATGGTACATAGGTGAATCAAGCAGCGAAGCCAGATGGTTTTATCATCCTCAGCAGTCTGCTGCTGTAGGCAGCTGCTTGCTTCCCTGTAGGCTACACAGTCTAGTAGAGAGCCACGCAAATATTAGTTCAGTCTCAGAATTAATGGTCTTATATCACCATGGTGCTGTTCCTAAGATAAGAAGCCCTGCTCACAGCAAGCTTGACATTGGTGCTCAGTTGTTGCAGTTGCCATACTTCAGTTCCAAAGTTGGCTCATGCAGGACTATCTCAAGGACCCATGAGCCATAGGGCTTAACAGCAGAGAAATGTCCACTAGTTTCTTAGCACATCTTTATCTATGGGTCCCAAAGGAAGGGATAGTAGTCACTGGAAAGCAAATGCCGCCTCTTCTCATATGGATTGCCAAGACCTTTTCTCTAAGCTCATGTTCAGGTTGGAATCTTCGGAGCTGAAGGCTTCTTTACAGGCAGATGGCTTTGTCTAGTGAACAGCAATGTCTGCAAAAAATGGGAGCAGTCTGACTGCCACATTAAAACAATAAAATGCATAATCCAAACATGAATATTCAGGAGAGAACAGATGAAAGGATAGCAAGTTGTTTTGAAATTTGTTGGTCATCTGAAGTTATTGACCACTATTTCTCATCAGGTAGTAGCAGCCTTTCAAAATAACTGTTGAGATCCTCATATACTCATTTAAGAAGACAACGTTATTCATAGTCATTACAAAAAATGGCTTTCCCAGAGGTAATTTCCCTTCCTTATATTCCCTTGAATATAATAGGCCACCAAATTATGCTGGGGTGATTACACCAAAGTGAGTACATCACAATATATTTGCTTCAC